TGGTATCACTTCATACTGTAATCTCAACATATCTAGGCAATGAGAGCTTTTGCACACAACCAAAAGGGAGTAACAGGACTAGAACTTACTTTTCCACTGAAAATGACCACAAAATAAAGGGGAAAAAACATAAAATTAAGAATCAGTGGTTTTTAAGACATCAGACTTCAGACATTGAAAGACAATGATTCCTGAAAGATGAGAAACAACAAAGAAGGTACTGCCTTGAAGATGTGTCCAGGCAAGGGGAACCTGGGTGGGACCAGGATGACTCTTATTAAAAAAAAAAAAAAAAAGGAAATTCATATGAACCTGTCGGGATATGCAAAATCATTATTTCACAAAATACAACATCATTTTCTGTAAAAATCTCCAGCTAACTAGAAATGAAGGGGAAATTCCTCAGCCTGGTAAGTATATTTAGGAAAAATCTACAGCTTAGAGCATACTTAATCATGACATTCTGAATTATACCCCCACCTTCACCAAGATCATGAATAATACAAGAGTTTCAGTACTCACCAGTTCTATTCAACATTCCACTAGAGGTTCTATTCACTGAAATAAGAAAAAAAGAAAAAATCCATTCAGATTGGAAATTAAGAAGTAAAACTATTATTATTTGCCAACCATATGGTCACCTATATAGAATATCCAATGGTATCTATAAAAAGCTTTTAGAATTAATAAATTTAATGTAAAAATTTAGTAAGCTTCCAGGATGCAATACCAATATTTTAAAAAATCATTTCTATATGCAGCAATAAACAATCAGAAGCTGAAATCTTAAAAATATCTTTTACAATATCATCAAGAAATATGGAGGACTTGGGAATACGTTTAATTAAATTTATAAAATAACTTTATGGAGACAAATTATTATTAAACTATTTTGTAAAAAGTAGCAAACTGATTCTAAAATTCATACAGCTATTCATACAGTTAGAATACCCAAAACAACTTTGAAAAAGAAGAATAAATTTAGAATGTTTATACTCTCTGACTTCCAGACTTATTATAAACCTATTCTAATCAAGACAATGTGGTAGTTGTATAAAAGTAGTCAAATAAATCAGTGAAATAGAATAGCAAGCTACAATACACCCACACAGATATGAATAGCTGATTTTTGACCAAAGTACAAAAGCAATTTCAACAAATAATGCTAAAACAATTGCATATCCATATGCCAAAAAATAAAAAAATAAACTGCAAACCTCTCACACTATATGCTGACATTAACTAAAAATAGGTTTTAAACTAAATGTAAGAGTTATACTGTAAGATTTCTAGAAGAAAATACTGGAATAAATTTTTGTTACCTTTGTGTAGGCAAATATCTAAGATACAGCACAAGTACACTCCATAAAGGACACACTGATAAATTGAACTTTATCAACATTAAAATTTTCTGCTATTCCAAAGACCCTGGTAGGAGAAGGAAAACACAAGTCATAGACTGGGAGGAAATATTTGAAAACTCACTATATGTAACACATTTGTATTCAGAAATTTAAATAACTATAGAAACTTAATATGAAGAAAACAAAACAACCCAATAAAAAATGGGCAATAGATTTTTAAAAATTCATTTGTTGTGAAGAGAGAGTTCCTTGAGTCAACCCAGTGCTATATAGAACACCATGACAGGGGATAAGGCATTCTTTAAGTACACAGTTAATAATTTTGCAGAAGCACTGCATGCAGGGGAAGCGAACTCTTATCCAGAGTGTCTATTGCAGGAAGGACAAAATGCTGACCCTTCCATGATAGAATCAGTATAACATAACCAACCTGCCACAAGATTACTAGCTGCTCACTCCAAACAATAGGATCATATTGGAGGCTCGGGGTGGGTCTCTGCTGTTAACAGATTGGGCATTTGTTAATGACTGTAGCCAAGTCAGGCTTGGTGACCAGAAGTCCATGTTGTTGACCCCATGCATAACCTCAATTCCTGCCACCATGGCCACTTTGTTCATGAACCTATTGGATAATGACAGAAGAGAACACATCATTCTATCCACTTGATATTAAAATCCTCCTCTGTTGAGTTGCCCTTTGGTGAGTAGTCACATGGAACACAAATATCTCCATGTTCTTGCCCATTCAGAGAACACTATCCATGTACTTCCCCAAATTTTTTGTCCCCCAACTCTTTATTATATCGCCATCCATATACCTGACCATTCAGGCAAACCATTGGCCATAGCCCTTGAATTAGTATGTAACTGCATACCTGGCCATTTCTTTTTCAATAAAAGTGCACTACTAAGTGAACTCTTGAAGTTCTTCCCACTAGGAATATTTCCCTTCACCACAGTCCTTGAAGGATATCCTTGAGAAGGGGCTATGGCGTAGCTATCCACTTTTGGTTAATGCCTGCATATTCTGTAGAACCATCTGCAAACCAGGCCCACATTCTTCTGTCAGATAATTAGAAGGGACGCCCCCATGAGACTGTAGGTGCAGGTTTGGAGAGTGAAGCTAATGTACCAAAAGTGGAGACCTTGGGCTTTTGGGCTACTTTTACATGTAACTCATTGTGCCTTCAGGACCTGTTTGAGTATAATCACAAATTTACAATTATATTTGATGAAGGAGTACTGTTGTGTACACTCAACTTTTTGGATTGGTGAGTCAGGCAACACCCAGTTCATGATAGATAGATCAGGTTGCTTGACAACTTGGTGATCTCTGGTTGAGTATTCACTCTCTACTAATGTCTAGTTGTAGGCAATGAACTGTTTCTCAAAAGGAGACAAGTTATCTGCAAGATGGAAGGGCTTTACTCCAAAATCCAAAGGGTTCTACCATAGGCTCTACAGACTGCCCTAAAGTGGAAGAATTAAAAAGTAGAACAAAAAGAGAAAATAACCCCAAAGAAATAAATATTTCTGTTTCTTCCAGCCTTTTATTGATGCTTATTTTGATCTGCTTATATTATTATTCTTATTTTTCAGCTTTATTGAGGTATAATTAACAAATAATTTTGTGCATATATCTAGGCGTGCAACATGATGATGATCTGATATAGGTATACTTTGTGAAATGATCACCACAGTCAGGTTGATTATTACATCCATCTCTTGAGGGGTGTGTGTGTGTGTGTGTGTGTGTGTGTGTGTGTGTGTGTTGAAAATGTTTAAGGTTTTCTCTCAACAAATTTAAAGTACACAAAACTAATATGAACTATCATTATCATGGTGTACATTAGGTCCCAGAGCTTATTCATCTTATAACTGAAGGCTTATATCCTCTGACTAGCATCTCTCTATCACCCAGAGTCCCTACTAACCACTTTACTACTCTGTTTCTATGAGGTCAATATTTTTTTAGAATCCACATATAAATGAGATCATACAGTACCTGTCTTTCTCTATCTGGCTAATTTAATTAAGCATAATGCCCTCTAGATTAGTCTGTATTCTTGCAAATGGCAGGATTCCCATGTTGATCATTATAGCTTTGAAATATAGTTTGAAATCAGGAGGTATAATGCTTCCAGCTTTTTCTTTTTTCTCAAGATTATTTTGTCTATTTGAGGTCTCTTTTGATATCATATATCTTTTAGCATCATATTTTATATTCCTTTGAAAAATGCCATGGAATTGTGATAGGGATTGCATTGAATCTGTAGGTTAAATTAGGCAATATATTGCATTGAATTTGCAGATTGCTTTAGGTAATACATATATTTTAACAATATTATTTTTTCCAATCCATGAACATAGGATCTTTTCACTTATTAGTGTCTGCCTCAATTTCTTTCATTAAAGTCTTATAGGTTTCACTGTAAAGGTGACTCACCGTCTTGGTTACATTTATTCTAAAATATTCTGTTGTTGCTGAGGTCCTTGAAAATGAAATTGCAGTTCTTTCTCTTTCTGATACTTTGTTGTTAACAGAAATGAAGTTTTTGCATAATGATTTTGCTTCCTGAGAGTTTACTGAAGTTCTTTATTGATTCCAATGCATTTTGGGCGGAGTCTTTAAGGTCTTCTATGTATAAAATCATGTCATCAACAGAGACAATTTTACTTTTCCCTTTCTGATTTGGATACATTTTATTTCTTTTTCTTGCCTATTCTTCTTCTGGACTTCAGTAGTATGTTGACAGATCCACATGCAAGGCATACCAGTACTTCCTGGTCTAGCTTCTGATGGAATTCATCACAGAATTGGTAGGATATGTGTCCCTTCAATGTCTTCAAGAGGCATAGCTGCTGTTCCCCTAGCTCCTGCTCCCTGCAGCAGTTATGCAGCACACCTTAGTGTTCTGGATGGGAAGAAAAGTAATTGGACCTCTTTGGCAGCATCCTGTATGCACAGCTGGAGAAACCATGTGTTCAATTGCATGCGCTTATTCTCCACTGTGGGAGAAATTGCCAGCCACGCAAGTTTCTCTTTGCACTGTGTTTTGCTGCCTTGGGGAAGAGTGACACAGGTAAAATAAAATCATTATTTTACCCAGCTTGTGTGTCTCTGATTTTTCTTTTCTCCAAGGGTGTGTTGGGACTTCTCTACTGGACTGTCAGCTTCTGCAAAGGGATTCTCTTCCATAGATGATATTCAAAATTGTGTTCTTTTGGAAGGAAGACGGTGAAAAACTCTAATTTTGCCATTTTGTTGCTGTCACTTCCTGTTTACATTTTTAAGTCATGGTATTTATGAATCGCTGCGTACTACTTTCCATTTAGCTTTAAATTATTTTCTTCATTTTTTTAATCTTTATTTTTGAGAGAGAGAGAGAAAGAGAGAGAGAGCACGAATGGGAAAGGAATAGAGAGAGAGTGAGATACAGGATTCGAAGCAGTTTCCAGGCTCTGAGCTGTCAGCACAGCGCCTGACACGGTGCTTGAACTCAAGAACCTGTGAGATCATGACCTGAGCAAAAGTCAGATGCTTAAGTGGCTGAGCCACCCTTTTTTATTCCAATTTTTAATAAATATGTCAATAGTAGCATATCATTCTTTATAAATGAATTTAAATATACTTACATTTTCACTCTTTTTGCCATCTAGATTGTTGCCATTTGTTTTTCTCTAAATTACATCCCTACAAAAATCATTAAAAGAGAAAAATGTCACCATATCAGCAACATTTTACCAGAATATATAGTTATCTTCTCAGATGAGCACTACAAACTTAAAAACAGACAAAAAATCCTAAAATTGAAATGATTAGGTTGGGGCGCCTGGGTGGCTCAGTCACTTGGGCGTCGGACTTCGGCTCAGGTCATGATCTCACGGTTCGGTGGGTTCTGGCCCCTCATTGGGCTCTGTGCTGACAGCTAGCTCAGAGCCTGGAGTCTGTTTCAGATTCTGTATCTTCTTCTCTCTCTGACCCTTCCCTGCTCACTCTCTCTCTTTTTCTTTCTTTCTTTCTTTCTCTCTCTCTCTGAAATAAATAAAACATTAAAAAAAAAAAAGAAGAAGAAATGATTAGGGGCATAGTATTCCATAGATGTACTTCTTCCCCATTGACTTCTACTTGGTTATGAGTTACAACTTCATTCAGCTATGATCATTTCTTAGGATCTGACCTGACTTCATTTGCTTTTTATTTTTTTAATTTGAGCATAGTTGACACACAGTGTTAGGTTAATTTCACGTGTACAACCCAGTGATTCAAATTTTCTATATGCTATCTATGCTAGTCACCAGTATAACTACTATGTGTCACCGTACAACAGTTATAATATCATTGACTATATTCCCTATGCTGTCTTTTTATTCCCATGATGTATTCATTCCATAACTGAAAGCCTCCATCTCCACTCCCCTTCACACATTTTGCGCATCTCTTCACCCCCACCCCTTCCCTCTGGCAACCATCAGTTTGTTCTCTGTATTTATAGACTGATGCTGCTTTTTGTTTGTTTATTAATTTATTTTGTTTATTAGACTCCACATATGAGTGAAATCACATGATACCATATCATTTGCTTTTGAGATGCTTAAAAGACAGTGAGGAAGAAATACCTCAGCAGAAAAAGTAAAAACAATTCTTAATGAAAAAAGTACCTAAATGATATAAATGTGGTCCACTGGTGAAAGGAAAGTTGAATGTTGAATAGCACTTTAGTATAGTTCTGAACTTATTTGAGGAAGATTTTTTGTTTGTTTGGTTTTGGTTTTGGTTTGTTTTACAGATGGTCCCCATGTATGCTAGGAATAGAAGAAATGAAAATTGGATACTTTTAAAAGTAAAAGAGACTCACATTATAAGAAAGAGTTTATGATGTGACAATACTGAAAGCAATTACTGAGAATTTCTGTAGAACCAGGTATGGATTTTCTTAAGAATGGCAGTTTAGTTTCTCTTTTGAAAACAAAACAAACAAAACAAAGACAACAAAACAAAAATAACATTTTCTACCTTAATGATCATGGTCATGGCTGTCTTAATACCAAGAATTTTCAAAAAATTGGAGCATTATTTAAAATAGAAAAATTATACACTTTTAACATATTTCTCCAATACTAGAATACCGTTGTAGGTATTTTTATAGCATCCAATCTACTGCATATACAGTATTTTTCAAACTATAAAATATTAGTCCAATGCTCTAAGAAGCTGTCCTTAAAATTTAAATAGACAGTGTTAGCATATATCTGTGATTGACTGGAATGCCATATCTTTAAGAAATATATATTTTATGACTATGGAATTCCAAAAAATATTTTAAATTTTGAGTTCCTGTTGAACTACAAATTATTTCCATGTTTGCTCCTAGTCATGTAAGCCTTCTTTAGCCCAGAAGAGAAACACTAGGAATGAAGAAATAACAGTTGATAGATCCAATCTAAATAAAAGAATGGTAACTGACCTGGATATATATAATATATATAGATATATTATATCTAGATCTAGATCTATTTTCCTCATATCTAAGTCAATATGTGCTAAATCTTAGATGTAGTTTTCCATGTATGTGTCCCCATTATTATAACAGTAAATTGAGAAAGAAAATTATATTTAACTCATGAATAGATGAGGAATCAAAGTATAGGAAATAATAGATGAATCAAACAGTAAAACTTCTAAAAGATTTTAAGTTTCATTTATCCATAATAATTTACTCAGAGATATAGAAACCATCAATCAAATAGAATAGAATGGAATGGAACAATTTCCTTAAGGTTAACTGTAGAGCAATTCAGGGGTTAGTTCTACCTCCTTAGAAGCATCAGAAGACCTTCCTTGGATCAACAATGTACTTCTTTAGCAAATCCTCTTCTATAGTTTATAACCAACACATTTTATTTCTTATTATTGTGCCTCCTTCCCTTCTCAGTGAACAACCAGTTGTTGATTAGGTTTATACATTTTTTGGGGGGGATATTGGGTATTTAGCAGCTTCCTCAGAATAATCATAGTAAAAGTTATCTTTGATCTCATCTAAGGTAGTCCTGTGTTAATATATATGACTTGTTTCTGTATGTATTCATTTCAATGATTTTTGAAGCTGTAGCCTAGCACCTTAATTGTAGTCTCACATGGATATTATGCTTGGGACCTGAGGCAACATATATCACAATATGTTAACTATTTATTGTCAAAATCATATGGGCATTAAAAAACCCAGCTGAGTAAGAAATCTTATAATTCAAACATGTGAAACCATACAAACATATATTCTAAATTAATAATCCATTAAACCAAAAACTTATTTTTGCATTTCTAATGAAACTGACATAAATTGATATAGTATTTGATGTGACATTATTTAGCTTACTGCTTTTTTTGTAATGTGCATTTCAATCAGTTGCTTAAAAGGTCATGTTTAATGTCACATTAGCACTTTCACAGAATGATTTATTTTTGTTTAGATTCAGTATGATCAGATAAAACTTTTTGGATGTTCATTCCAAATGGAACTTTTTAAAAGTTCCATTTAAGATTTTAGCATAGTTTCATTAATGTGTCCATCTTTATAACATAGTCTTTTTTGGCTTTCATATGCAAATTAATAGAATAATAGATATGAGTATACTTCTAGATGTCATAACTACAGTGTACCTTGAACAACATAGGTTTGAACTGTGCAGATCCACACATACATGATTTTTTTATTCTTCCTTAAGTTTTTTTTTATTTTTCTTTTTAAATTTAATGTTTATTTACTTTTGAAGGAGAGAGAGTGTGTGTGAGCATGAGCAGGGCAAGGGTAGAGAGAAGAAAATACAGAATCTGAAATAAGCTCCAGGCTCCAAGCTCTCAGCACAGAGTCCCATGCGGGGCTTGAACTCATGAACCATGAGATCATGACCTGAGCCAAAACTGGGTGCCCAATTGACTGAGCCACCCAGACACCCCAACATACATGATTTTTAAAGATAAATACAGTAGAGTAATATAACTGTATTTTCTCTTCCTATTGATTTTCTTAATAATGTTTGTTTTATATATCTTACTTTATTGTAAGAATGTAATATATGATATATTAACATAAAAACATAATACATATGGCATACAAAATATGTGTTAATAAACTCGTCATGTTACCAGTAAGGCTTCCAGTCAAAAGTAGGGTATTAGTAGTTCAGATTTTGGAGAGTCAGAAGTTATACACGGATTTTATACAGTATGGAGTGTCAGCACCCTGAGCTCCCTCATTATTCAAGGGTCAACTGTATATAATGATTCTAAACAGGAAACGTTATTCATATACTTTTCTTTTAAAGTAGCTTAAAATTAAGAAAATCTATTGAGTCAAAGGATCTTTTGAAGTTTTTTGAACATCTAAGTAACTCTCATTTCTTGACTCACCTTCTCATCCTACTAGCCAATAAATAGCTTCTTTCGACTTATTACCTGACAGCCTTATTGAGTCTTACTGAGCATGACCATATACATAAAGCCAGTTGTCTTTGTACTGTGCCATTGAAAACAACAATCCAGGACATTAGTGAATAAGGAAAGCATATATTATGGCAATAGTCCTTTTTTCTTTTGACAGTCTGTATCATTTCTTCTTTTTCATTGATGCAAAAACACCAATTTGACATTGATGAATGTTGACCTCTGCTAAGGATCCATGTAATTCAAGCCCAGAAAGAAATCACAAATTCTCAAATACAATTTGTACTTCTCATCTCCCAGGCCATGACAATTAGTTCAGAGTACTTGTACCTAAGAAATAGTCTTTGATCATTTCAGGGAGAAAAATATGTCCTGATCTTTTCAGATAGGAGAAATCTCTCTCTCTCTTCTCTTTCTCTCTCTTTTTTTTACTGACTGACATAAAAAAAAAATAGAAACATGTAGGTACCAAAGGTGCTGGTATACTTTTGATTTCTCAGGAAGGATTAGCTTTAAGTTGAAGAAAATACAGTAAAATACAGAAAAGAGAAGAAATAAAACATCAAATTGTGACGGTCAAAAATGTCTCTTTATGTTTTAGGCTAAGAATTCCTTGCTCAAAACTCACCAATGCATAACTGATTAAGTTCCCATTATCATAATAAAAATAAAAATACAATTAGGAAATTCTGGGAAATTTGTTTCTTACATTTTTTGCAAGTCTTACAAATTCTGTATCCACTATGTGTAATTTGGTGATGGAGTATGTATCTGTTTCCTGAATGGATAAGTTAGTAAATTAGTAGTGATTATTATTACTATTATTACTAATAATATTGGTAATAGTAAATTATTTGATACCTAATAATATCATATTGCATTGACATTAATATTTTCACCTGAATTTATAAAATATAAAGAATGTATATTTCTCATTATTTATATATATCCTCTACAGTACTTGTAGGAGAATTATACATATTGATAGAAGATGAAATATTATTGAATGTTTAGTGGATGATTATACTTATATTTTTTGTATAGAGATAAGAACATACTAATTATATTATGTATAATACATACTACCTTATAATGAAAACCACATAACTGTCAGACTAAATTTTACTTTCGTTTGTCATTTAATGTAGGAAAAAAAACTGTGGTGATATGGAAAGAATTGTTATCCTTTACACACACACACACACACACACACACACATATTTCATCATCCAGGAGATATTATTTTCTATAA